TAGATATTTGATGGTCATTTTGCATGGATTTCCACCATGCAAAACTTAGGTGTCATGATTTAATTCCCATAAGTTTCCCTTTTTTTACCAAATATATAAAATATATTTATACATATAACCGTGAATGAGAGGAATAAGGAAAAATATGGACCTTGGGCTTGATATAGCCTTGACCCACTAGAGTTTTTTGATCCATGTGGGCCTACATATGAGTTTTCGGGCCAAAATGTTAAAAGGGGTGGGTTTACGGCCCAAGAACGATAAAGAAATAGGTTTACAGCCCAATAAGTTTCAAGAAGGTTGTTTACGGCCCAATAAGGTCCATAAAACAAAGTGAGACATTTTAGGTCCAATAAGGCCCCTAAAAAGTCTTATGGCCCAAAATGTTATAGTTTATTGAATGTGGATCCAATTAGGGCCCATTTAAGGATTCTTAGCCCAAAATAATCAAGTTGTGAGTTTATTGGCCCATTAGGCCTAATAAATGACGCATAGCCCAAAAGAGGTTTTGAACCGGGAGAATTAGGGTTACAACCCAAAGTCGAGTGAATTGTAGTACATTGGATTAGGTATAGGGTTTCATGAGGGACTTTTGATTTGAATAGTTGTTTTTGAATAAGCATTGTGCATAACATCGAATTAGAGTAACAATTTGATACAAGAGTTGATTACATGAAGACAGAATTTCCTAGCCAAAAATGCTAGTTGTGACACGTGCGGCTGAGAGGATTGGCCGCCACGTTGGCGTTCCTCGAGTGATAAAGAATCTTACAATCATAATCCTTTGCCGCATCCAAGCACCTACGCTACCTCATGTTCAGATTCAATTGATCCATCAAATACCTCAGGCTCCTGTGATCTGTGTAGATAGTATAGCGGACCCCATAGAGGTAATGTCGCCAAATATTAAGGGAAAATGCCACTGCCCCCAACTCCAAATCGTGCGTAGGGTAATTCGCCTCATGAGTCTTCAGCTGCCTCGATGCGTAAGCGATCACATGACCTCGCTGCATAAAAACTGCACCAAAGCCCATAATCGAAGCATTACAATATACCATAAAGTCATCAACACCCTCTTGCAGGGTCAGAATCAGTGCCTCGTATAATCTCTGTCTCAGAGTCTCAAAGGTTGCATGCTGCTCAGCCCCCCAAGGAAACGTGATGGTCTTCTTTGTCAACCGAGTCAAAGGAACCGTTATCTTAGAGAAATCCTGAATAAATCTCCGATAGTAACCTGCCAATCCAAGGAAACTTCGAATCTCATATGGAGACCTCGGAACCCCCCACTTCATCACCGCCTCGACCTTGGCCGAATCGACCAGAATGTCGCTCTAATTGACAAGGTGCCCCAAAAAATGCACCTCACGCAACCAGAACTCACACGTGGAGAACTTCGTATACAATCTCTCCCTCCTCAGAGTGCCCAATACCTCCCTCAGATGCTCCTCATGCTGCTCCTGAGTCTTGGAATAGACCAGGATATCATAAATAAACACAATCACAAACCGATCCAACATGGGCCTGCATACACGATTCATGAGATCCATGAATGCGGCTGGAGCATTGGCGAGCCCGAAAGGCATCACCACGAACTCGTAATGACCATAGCGAGTCTGAAAGGCTGTCTTCTGCATATCCTCATCTCTGACCCTCATTTGGTGATAACCTGAATGCAAATCAATCTTGGAAAACCAAGATGCGCCCTGAAGCTGATCAAATAAATCGTCGATCCTTGGAAGCGGGTAACGATTCTTCACCGTTAGCTTATTCATCTCCCCGTATTCAATACACATCCGATGCGTCCCATCCTTTTTCTTCAAAAATAAAATCGACGCTCCCCATGGTGAACTACTCAGCCGAATAAAACCCTTGTCTAGCATCTCATGCAGTTGCATAGACAACTCCTGCATCTCTGGAGGTGCTAATCGATAAGGTGCTTTGGCTATTGGAGCTGCAACTGGAACCAAGTCAATCTGAAACTCCACCTGTCTCTCCATAGGCACTCTTGGCAAGTCCTCCGGGAACACATCCGGGTACTCCCGAACAATCGGTACATCATTTATGGTCATCTCACCTTTCTCCTGGGTATCCATCATGTAGGCCACAAACCCGCAACATCCCTGCTGAAGATAACGGATGGCTCTGGATGCCGAACATAGAGTCGGCCCACACTGATCACCCTCACTGTGGATCACCAACTCTCCCCTACTTGGGGTCCGAACACGTACCAACTGAAGCCCACAATCAATCATCTCCCCATTGGGGCTCACCCAATCCATCCCTACGATGACCTTGCTCTTGCGCAGGGGTATCAGAACCAAATTAATCGGATATTGTTCACTGAATAACTCCAAGGTGCATCCCCGGTGAACCCTCAACACTCGCACCGGACGGTAATCCACAATCTCAACCTCTAGTGGATAATCCAACTCTCTAGGGACATTGTCAAACCTCCTGCTAAGCGCAAGGGATACAAAAGATCGGGTATCCCCCGAATCGAACAAGACCAACGCAAGAATACCATTCATTAGGAACGACCCTATTCAACAATACAAACATATAAGCAGGAAAAATAACATAAATAAGAAAATAAGGAGAAGATACAAACCAGTGACCACATCGGATGCTGCGCGGGCCTCCTTAGCTGTCAGTTGAAATGCCCTGCTCCGAACGATTGGCACCTCCGCCTTGCCCTAGCGGCCATCAGTGATCCTCAGAGTCGCCGGAGCAGGTGCTGCTACTGGTCCTCCTAATGCTAAACTCAGGCAGTTGGCCTTCTTATGGCCCCTCTGATTGCAATCGAAGCAAATCAGATCTGATGTCTGGGTGGTGGTGGTAGTAGCAGTACAATCCCTGCCGAAATGCCCCGTCTTTCCGCACTTATAACAGCCTGAACCACCCGCCATGTAGACCCCATTATGTGCCTTGTCGCACTTGCCACAACGGCCCCGACCCTGTTGGCCCCTCGATCTAGAATCGAAACCCTTGGGTTTCTTCGCTGAAACCCCACTCGTCTGCCCATGTTCTGCCTTCCTCTTCCCTATATGCTCCAAATCAATCTCCCGTTCCCGAGCCCTGGATATCATGTCGTCTAGTGTCGGGCAGGCGGAAAAACTAACAAACTCCCGAATATCCGGTCTCAACATGTCATGGTACCGAGTTTTTCGCATCTCCTCGTCTGCGGCATATTGAGGTATCAATAGGTCTTTCTCTCTCTGAACATGGCGGTGATCTCCGCCATGGTTTCAATCGTCTGTCGCATATCCAGAAACTCCCTCGCTAGCTGTTGCACCTCAACAGTTGGTGCAAACTCCGCTCGAAATCGGGTCAAAAATTCCAACCATGACATGGCCTCAATGTTGGGGCTCCCAGAGTCTAGCCAACCTCCTCCCACCAATCCCGAGCTCGCTCCCTTAGACATCTTGCAGCGAACCTCACCTTCGACTCCTCGGGGCAGAAACTCGTCATATGGGCACACTCAATATCTGTTAGCCAACGCCTGGCGGCAATAGGGTACTTCACCCCAAAGAATTATGGTACCCCACATCCCCTGAAATCCTTGAAGTAGAGAGTGCGGGCCCTAGACTGGCTAGCGGCAAGATCGACCCTGAAGATCCGAAAGCGATCCTTCATCAGCTCGATGATACCCTCCTTGATCAATCCAAACATCACCGGGGGTCGCATCAAGTATGCCTCTAGTAACCTCTGACACAATGAACTCGCGTAATCTCTCATCAATTGGTTTGGTGCCCATGCCCGTGCCCGAACCAGATCCAGATCCTTAACCCCAAGTTCCATTGCGTGTCACCACCATGCTGAAACATAACCACATAAACAATCAGTTAACACACGAAGAGGTTCACACTCTCGAGCTTCCTAGATTCATCGTGGTCTTCCTGGTCTCAGGTATAAATCTCGTGCTTCCAGTAGTATGGGCCCAATACTACCTTCCACACCTATCTATACCCTCCTCAAGGACTATCTCGACTCCTCCAAGCCACCCCTTCCTATCTAATACTCTCTTCATACTATAAGGTGTCCTACGCGCCAATACGTATTCCAAGAACTTCCTAGGGTTCCTTTCCTCACCACTCGCTGCTATCAGTTGCAGAAGGAACTCCTACTAATACCATCTAACTACCACACAAATACATTTACATAATATCGGTACCAGATAATTTTTTGTGTGAAAGGTCCCACACTACAACGGTTGGACTCAAACAAGAGTTGCGCAATAGAGTTAAACCTATCATTCTAAAATTATCTAATATCAATAATGTGTAACCAAACACATTCATCCACTAGTCAGCTGTAGGCCTGTTGAAAATACCTAATACCCGATTACCCGACCCGACCCGTTTTGAATTCGGGTAGATTGGGTCGGGTGATCGGGTTTCGTGTTTGAAAATTCCGGTAACTGGGTAACCCGATATTTAAATAGGTCGGGTATTGGGTAGGTTTAAAAAAATTCGGGTATACCCGAATACCCGATTTAGAAAAAAAAAACTAACTAATACACTAGTAATAATAACTATTAAAGTTGTATCATTATTTTACATAATTATTGTTCCTTATAGTTTAAATTAAATGTTATATGACTTCGTTATTTGAACGGTATATAATAAATACAAAAGAAATTGTTGAAAATGAAATGAAGTTTTGAACAGAATGTTACAACAAATATAATGAAAATGAATAAGATGTTAGATTCCCCTTCATTTTCTTTGTGCACCAAACGAGCCGAGCCGAGCCCGACCAAGCTCGAGCTCGGCTCACTTAAAATTTGTATGGCTCGAGCTCGAGCTCGGCTCGTTTCGAGCCCCAAAAAAAGAGCTCGAGATCGGCTCGTAAAGTAATACATCGGCTCGGGCTCGACTAGTTTTGTCTAACTGAGCTTAAACGAGCTTAAGCTTGGCTCGAGCTCGTTAAAAGCTCGTTTACAAAATGAATTCCAAGAAAAAAAAAAATTTATTTAATTTTCAGCTAGGTGCAGACTAGTAGACTACTTAAATTCCAACCAAGATGCATAAATAAAATCTTCAAATTACATAAGTTTTAAACTCCAACATACAAACCTAAAATGTAATTAAACCATCCAAAAGAAAGTCTTCCTATCATGGAAGTTCAAATTACAAAAATACTATAAAAACGATTAAATTTGAACATAACATATTATCAAAACTCAAAAGCTAATCTTCCTTAAAGCAAATTCAATCCAGCAAAATCTGCATATTAAAACATTTTATGAGATGTGCAATATAATGTAATTAAAACAACAAGATTACAAGTAGATTAAAATGGCTTACACCTTTAAGTATTACTTGTCCCTGTAGGTAATAAAACCTCAATGGGCATTTCCTCCTTCTGTAAAAAGAAACCACCAACATGATCAAATATTAATAAATTTAAATAATCAATTGTTAGTTCACGTGTTTTAAGTTTATCAAATGTACCTCTATTTTTTTCTTGATTCCATAACGATGTCTAATCCAATCTCCTCCACAAATCAACTTTTCAACAGTGTCTGGTGCCAATGAAGATCGGTATGGATCAATTACTCTACCCCCAGCACTAAATGTTGCCTCAGATGCAACGGTAGAAATCGGGATCGCAAGCACATCCATAGCCATCTTTGATAAAACACGGTACTTCAATTTATGAACAATCCACCACTCCAAAGCCTTGAATGAATCTATTCCTTTTTGTCTCGAGTCCCTATAAACACCTTCTTCCAAATACATATCTAATTCTGACTTTTCTGGTCTCTCCAAAATCTGTATTTTTTAAAAACTCCCCAAAAGCCTCCCATCCGGACCCGAGTGATGTTTTTGACACTTCATTTCCTCCACATCCATTTGCAGGCGTTGCAGCTTCTCGGACTGATGCATCATGTATTTCCAAATACTCTTCATACATTTCATAAAGTGCTTTCTTCACTTCTTCAATGTTCTTTTCAGCATTGGAGTATATGGTTGGGAAACTAAATTCTACTAACTTCATTTTGAATCTTGGATCTAACACTGAAGCTATAGCCATGACAAGATGGCACTCCCCCCAATATTTGTCAAACTTCTCCTTCATCTTAGTCACCATAGTCCTAATAAAATCATTTTTTGATAGAGCACCTTTATCCAAAGTTTCTTTTACTCTAAACACCTCAATCAAATACAGATTGGATGTTGGATAATCACTTCCAGAAATGACATTTGTGCATACCTGAAAATAAGTTGCTTTAGTATTAGGCATTATAAAATATTTAAAATAATACTTAAATAAAGGTAATATGCACCTTGAAAACCTTCAAGATTTCACATACACTCTCCACATGCACCCACTCCTCATCATTAGGCAGGTGATGAAAATGTGGCTCGTACTCTGCAAATCTATGAAAATCACAAAAACTTAGTGATGTGTAGTATTTGAAAATCTGAAAATCACAACATTCAAAACTATTTTATTAAAATCTAATGTGTACCTTGGGAAAACATCTTTAAATTTTAATGCAACCGACAACATATCATAGGTTGAATTCCATCGTGTTGGAACATCAAGCAATAACTTTCTATCTTGTATTTGTAGTTGATGTGCAATATTTGAAAATGTTTGAAGTCTCGCCTCAGAATTGTTAATATATTTGATACCCTCACGAACTTCCCCGATAACAGAATCAATCATAGCAAGACCATCTTTCACAAGAAGATTTAAAATGTGTGCACAACATCTAACATGAAACAACCTCCCACCACACATGAGTTTTCTCACTCTAGAAAAAATTTCTTTCAGTCTTCTCAACGCCCTGTCATTGTATGCAGCATTGTCTACAGATATCGTGTATATCTTGTCCTCAATTTCCCAATGCTTCAAACATTTATAAATACCATCAGCAATATCAAGTCCGGTACGAGGAGGAGGAACATGTACAAAACTCAAGACACGTTTTTGCAATCTACAAAAACAAGTCCAGATATCAATATGAATATATTAAATAAAATGGACATGTCTTATTAAAAAATAGAAAAAGAAATCAAACCTCCAATTATGATCAATAAAGTGCCATGTGATAACCATGTACTCAATCTTCTGATGAGATGACTTCCAACAATCAGTGGTCAAACTGATTTTTGAGGTCGCTTTTGTAAGAGCTTTCAGTGTTTTTTTCTCATGCTCATATATCTTAAAACAATCTGCTTTGGTTGAAGTCCTGCTTGTTTTCTCAAATAATGGAGTAGCTGTCTTCATCATATGCACAAATAAATCATCCTCCACAACTGAAAAAGGTTGCTCAGTACCCAACACCTAAGTAGCTATTGCTTCTCTCATTTTGTTACCATCATACTTTGCATCAGGCATGATCAATGAAGGAAGCTTCTCATGTCCTGCATCTCCATCAGATTTAATAAGTGGAAAATTCAATAAATTCTGTTTTTCTTCGTAATCCTTATGTGGTTTGCATATAAGAAAATGCCTTTTTAAGGTTGATGTAGTCCCGGTATCACCATAAGTTAACTTTGTTTTACAATGAATACACTGAGCTTTTTTGGTACCATTAGATAGAGTCACTACAGTGAAACCGTCCCATGCCTTTGATGTTTTTTTTCGTTTTCGTTTCATTACTATTTCCTCTTCTCCCGAGTGCATTTCTGCATTTTGACTTGGAATATGATTTTGAGGAGTTGGTTGTTCATCAGCATCTACATTTATGGGAGCAGATTGCTCCTTATTCTCAACCCCTTCCATTGGATCTGAACTCACATCACCATCCATATTATCTACAGCATGGTTTATGAAAAAACATTTGTCAAAATATGTACATTTAATAAGAATTCTCAATTGATCAGCATTAAACAATAAATTTTCCTGATAAGGATCTTTTAACTAATAAACAGTGAATAATATGAGTTATCTTCAGCAAAACAATAAATATGCAAACTTAAAACTAGAACTCATAATTCCAACAAGTAGAAAGATATGAACCCACAACACAATCTCCTAAGAATCTAGACTTAACAATTAAAAGTAGTATTTCAATTAAACCAAGTTAATATATCCAGACTAACAATCAAAAAATAGAAAAATAGAGATTGACAACAATCCCATATATCCCAGAAGCTATCTTCAACTGAGCAAAAAAAAACAAACAGATGTTAATTCTTTCAACTGAGTAGATAACTATTTTATCAGTTTAAGAAAAGAAAAAAGAAGCACGAAGAAACAGACATTGATCCAAACCACAGAGACTGTAGATCAAGCATAAGATATCTGTAATTCACTGTTTGTATATCCCAGGAGACTCAAGTAATCGTAACACATGATTGGAAATCAGTAATAAACTAATAATAACGAAACAGAATAACAAATGACTGGAAATCATAACGAAAAACAAAACTGTTGTGAGGCAGCAAAACCCAAGTAATCAACAAATGATAAGATCTCTTCGAATCAGCAGAAAAAAAATAGATGAGTGAACAATGGAAGTAACTTACATCAAAATTCAGAACACGATGGAGGTGATCGGAGCTAGGGATGACAGTAAAGATGAGTGGTCGGTGGTCGGACGGACTGATGGTGCTTAATGTCGGATGACGGTGCTCTATGGGGGAGAACGACGCTCGATTGGAAGGCATGCGTCGATGGGAGACGATGGGAGATCGTCGTCTGGTGGTATTCGTGCCTTCGTGGTACGTGCTCGCCGGCTCGCCGCCGATAACAAGCGCCTGATTGTTCGAATCACAGCATAAGGGGGAACGGACGTGAATAGTGCGGCTCCGGTTCTTTTTCTTTTGTTTTGAAACGAATGAAAGTCCCTCGTACCCTAATTCAATAATTTTCCTAATATCTATTTTAATATATAAAATATAAAAATAAAAAATATATTATATTTATATATAGGCTCGCGAGCCTAATCGATCTTTGTAACACAGGCTCGAGCTCGAGCTCGAGCTCGTTTAATAATCAAGCTTAAAATTAGGCTCGAGCTCGGCTCGGGCTCGATAAAAACCGATCTCGAGTCGAGCTTTTACCGAGTTGATCCCGAGTAGCTCGCGAGTAGCTTGGCTCGTTTGCACCCCTATGCACTACGGATATGTTTCTTTTTTTTCCAACTATGCACATGTTTCTTTTTTGTCATTTCTTTTTTGTGAATTGAAATATAGCTATATAATTGGTCACTGCAATTTAGATAACATGTTAAATTTTTTTATTTATAACTTTTATGTACTCACCTTTTGCATTAAATCATGTAACATGTTTGGTTAATCCAAATTTGATCAAACATTGATCATGTACTCTATAAACTGTTTTTTTTTATCAAAATTTGAAATGGAATGCAAAAATCACATAACATATTATAATGACTTGTATTGTTATCGTATATGTACTTGTTAATTGTATGGAATATTTTGTTACCCAATTTTTTATTAAAGCAACCGAAATGCAAAAAAGAATTAAAAAAATAAATAAGTGACACTTAAGTAATTTTCGGGTATACCCGAAAATATCCGACCCGACCTAAAACCCGAATACCCGAAACCTGAGAACCCGAATTACAATATAGGTCGGGTATCAGGTATTATTATTTTAAGAAAATACCCGAACTACCCGAAACCCGAAAATTTTACCCGAATAACACCCCTAGTCAGCTGGTACTAATAAAAATTCCTAAAAGCATAAAACACGCAACATTCGAGCATCAAGAAATTAAAATCAGAACACAATCTAAACAGGCCATCCTATCAGATAATTGATCTCATACTAGTATGCAGATCTATAAAGTCATACAATAGGCACATAAAGGCATCTCTCCTAGCATTCTATCATGCAATACTGAGCATATCCTTAACTCTAATCTAGCATGCGATTCTCATATCATAGCGTAAAACATATATTATGTATGGGTATTTTGGGAAGACTTACTTGAGCTCCGTTGATTGCACGCATCACACCCATTTCTTTTATTAAAATTCCTTTATTAAAATGTTTCTTTTTATGGAAAATCTACCAAATCCTTGATTTGAGTTCAGGCACACCCGAGAGTATGCATGAATCCCTTAAACCAAGGCTCTGATACCAACTTGTAACATCCCCAAAATTTTCAGATAAAAATTTTCATCTCAAACATCCATTAGTCATGACAAAACAACCAAATGTGTATCATAATGACAATATTATCAGAGTACAAATCCCCAAAATCAAGCAAATGTGGAAAACATGGGCAGATGCAGTGCGATCAAGTCGGACCCTTCCCTTTCAAGTTGGAGGTACCTGAAACATAAAATGAAAACCATAAGCACAAAGCTTAGTGAGCTACCCCAGAATACCCCATACCATACATACATAACAGTCAAAGCAATATTGGGTCTATTTCAACCCATTCGGTCTCTTTCAACCGCTACTGGGTATGTTTCAATCCCTTCGTTCTTTTTCAACCGGTACTGGGTCTATTTCAGCCCCTTCGGTCTCTTTCAACCGGTGCTGGGTATACTTCAACCCTTTCAGTTTCTTTCAACCGGTATCAGGTTTATTTCACCCCTACAACTAACACATAATCATAACAGTAAGATTCACAGAGACAATAAGCATAGACAGGCAATACAGGAAATTGTCAGGAAGATAATCATCATTCTACCAACATAGTCTAGTGGGTCGGCATTGGTGCCTTCGACCCACAAGTAAAGCGAAGGAAACTCACCTCATACTAAAGATATCAAATCACACTCAAGCTGCTGAACCGTGGAATCCTCTCACTAAATCACAAATAATAAAACCCTAATTAGAAATTAGGTTAATAACCCAACCCGAGAGTCCAAATCCTGAATCTCGACTTTAAGGGAAAAATGTTGCTTTTCCCTCCCCTTATTGGGCCTAACATACCAAGGCCCAAATCCAAACTAGCCTAAAAGTCCAAAAAGGCATTCCAAGTCTAATATGGGCCCAAATCCATAAAGACCCAGCTTAGAATAACTTGTGGTCCAACAAGGTCCCAAAGCCCTAAAGCCCAAGATGGCCCGAAACTAGAAGCCCAAACTCCCTTACATGAGTACGCTACGCGTACCCTCAGTACGCCTGGCGTACTCAGATGCTTCATTGGATCAGGACCCCATGCACGTACGTTCAACGTACAGCTGCATATGCCTTGCGTACGCTTCAGATGGCCAAATTCCCTTTTTAAGGTCTTAATTAGTTAAGACCTAACGTCCAACTTCAGATCTAGCCTCCTTAAGACGTCCTAAACAATAAAGTTGGCAACATTATCCCTTTGCATGTCTTAATGGGACACAAGTCATGGATTTAACACTTTACTTCCATTAAGTGGTCACTAACTTATGCATGAATAATCTATAACCACCAAGATACAAGCTTTGTGTCTTAACGGACCTCAAAACAACAAAAGGGACGTCTCATAAGATCAGGAGTGGCATTTACTCATAAGAGTTCATTCATGGGACCAAAATATGCTAAATTCTTCCCAAACTTAGATCTAGACATAAAAAGAACAAGTTTTAGACTTTATACCTCCACTGAGATAGAAATGGTGAACAACCTATGGATCTACAAGCTCCTTCTTGTCCAATGCTTCTCCTCAAACCTTCTTCTTCTTCAATAAGCACAACACACACACACACAAGCTCGATCTCTTTGAGATTAGGGTTTCGAGGTTAGCTCAAAAAGGCAATGGGGGCTGATAAGGTGAGGGGTTTGAAGGACTTAATGAGCTTAAATAGGGTGCAAACCCTAAGAATTAGGGTTTGCCCCTGACTCGCGTACGCCCTGCGTATGCATGAGTACGTCCAATGTACCAGGGGGCTTCCCGCCTCATGCATGCATAGGAGTAAGCCCGATGTACCTTATGTACGCCCAACGTACTCGCTAAGAGTTTTACTGACAAATCGGGCGTTACAAGAGTAGGTCAAAGTTGGTAATTTCCTAGAGTTAGGGGTGTGTATGGGGCGGTTTGGTTTGATTATTGGTCAAAACCGAACCATAACCATTACAATTGGTTAATGTATATCGATAACCATTGGATAACGGTCAATATTAGTTTTGGTTAATGGTATTAGTTACTTAATGGTTATGGTTAATGGTTAATATAGGTTAACCAAAATGGTCCAAGATGATATAAAAATAAAAATATTTTTCTATAAAAATTTAAAAACACACTCTATCATTATAAAAAATGAATGATTGTGTATATATAATTGTATTAACAGAATATTACTTATTCTATCTTACTCCAAATAATTAGCAGGGGGTGTATGTACATAGTGCTAAGGTGGGCCCTAAAATCTACATTATTTTGCAACTTATATTATAAATTATACCTAGAAAAAATTAGGAACTACCATATAAATTTTAAAGGACCTACCTCCACCACACAACTCATAAGTTTGTGACATTTGTCTATTTCCAAGTTTATACAGTTAGTTGAGATTTGAGAATATGTAATTGATAATAAAGCGTACATTAGTTCTAAAGTTCTGAATTGATATTCTCATTATTTAGCTAGTTACGAAAAATGTTGTGGATATAAAATTAATGTTATGTTTGCTAGTTACGGTTAATAGTTATTGAAAAAATATGTTTTGGAAAGTATCGATAATGATACAATAAATATATTTCAAGATATAAGACATCGTCAGATATAATTGTAAGAAATTTAATATAATTATTGAAGTTATGTTTAAATTTTTTTATTTATACGACCCGGCTCGCCATTATTATTATTATTTTACTCTTTCGTGTTTTTTGGTTTCACTTAAATTGGGAACCACGTGGTTTTCAGTTCTAGATTCACCACTGATAATTACCCTTAAAATTTTTAATTTCCAATATAATTACATACCATATATTTAATATTATATTATTCTAAAAATATTATTAATATTATTGATTCGGTTCGGTTTATAATGATTCGGTTTTTGATGAAAACCATACACAAACCATATGTATTCGGTTAATCAAAATAAAAAACCGAATCATATCTTTTAGTAATGGTTCGGTTATATCGGTTAATTAGGTTATGATTCAGTTTTTCGGTTAATATACTCACCCCTACCTAGAGTAATAGTTGTAAACTTTAATCTTTAATGGTTTTAGGTTTTATAATTTTTGACTTTCACCTAGAGTAATGAAATTTATTTGTTTTAGCTAATGAATGTTATTTCAAACCTACAAATTCTTTCAGAATGTGAAAACACAATAGTTTTTTAGAATGATGTTAGTAACACTCATCGTTTTGATGCCTATTATTCTTACAGAATTCGATTTTCAATCCCTATATTTGTCAAGATAAAAAAAGTAAAAAACATTGCAAGATAAGAAAAGTAAAAAACATTATGTTATGTATTTTGTACTGTATTCTGTCAGAATTTATTTATATAAATGCATTATGTCAGAATGTCTTTAAGAATGTTTGTTAACAAGTATATTTGCTTAATTGGTAATACTAACGAGTAATGCATGCTATTCTTTCAGAATAACTTAAAGAAGGAATCAATTATTTATCATACAAGAGAAATACTTGGTAATCGAGTTCAACAACAAGTATATTTGCGAAGAATTACATTCTTACAATAATACATCACATTTTCATAAGAATAGTTGGAATCAAGTGGATTATTTGGACTATTGAAGAAGATCAAGTGGATTTGTTTAATAGTTGTATATTTATGAATTTGTATTTAAGTTCGGATTTATATGAAGAATAAAATCATAGATTGACTTGGATGTATATGACGAATTTGTAGAATTCTTAAATATGGTTAATTATGAAAAATATATGAATTGAAACTATATTCTGTAAGAATAAATCAAAA